TAAAGATGAAACAGTCAATTCAAAAAAAAAAAAAAAAAAAAATTGAGAGAGAAACCAAGCTTTGTCGACAAAAAATGAAGAAATACAAGGGGAATACAAAAAAACCAACCCCAAAAGGAGCCAAACTAAAGTAATACATACAAGGTAACTAATTATTTAACAAGTTATTAGAACAGTAATCATCAGTGAGAAAAGTACAGAGCAAGGCAACTTTTTGACATCAGAACATCAGTTAGATGACAGTACAATACCATTTATAAACAGAATATTGTCAACCAAAAATAGTTAAGAGAGAAGAAAAATACCACATCCTCAGATCGTTGGATGATAGTTGTATCAGCAACATTCTTTTTATCCCACGACATATTTAATGCAGGATTAGAGGACTTTGGAAGATCATCATTTGGACGTGCGGATATGGACCTCTCTGTCTCACTGGGCGCAGTAGGAGTTGACATATTTTTACTCAATGTACCTACTTCATTCTTATTGAAGTTCACAGGTTGAGCATCAATTGATGCTACATCCACAATTCTTCCCTCAATATCCCTGGAATCCATGACATGATCATCTTGAATGCAGTATGCTGGTACAGAAGTCTGTAATTCAACAGACCCATGTTCTTCGTTGGAACACCAACCATACCTTCAAAAAGATTTCAGGTCAGTTATGTTGTTAGTCGCTTATCTTTTTAAGTAGAATGCCAAAAAGGAAAAAACAACTAAACCTTAAACGAAAAACTTGGGGCCTTCCAATTGTTGCATAGACATCACCGGCACTCTCAAAAGAGTCTTGTGCCCATCTCTGACAATCTGCCAGGCTTTTCCTCTGGATACTGTATGGAAAAAGCATAAGCTCTCCATGAGCAGCACTTGAATTACCCCATTTACGGCTTAGATGCTCTAAAACTGATGAAATTTTCTTGCGAGTACTGAGAGTAAGCTCCAAATGTGGATTGTGTTTATCCTGAACAAAAAATCGACCCCAACATTGTTGTAACATCAAAATGCTTAACATATAAACTGATTGACACAATCTCTATTAGTCTCACCAATTCCAAGGCTCTACGAGTACCATCATCAACTGGGAATAGCTGAAGCTTCAGCTTTGTAGAAGCAACATCAATCAAGGAATTTGGCTGAAGAGAAGGCAATAGAAGCAAGGGGCTCCCAGCAGGATCAGTATTCTTTTTTCCTGGAAAAAGTTTGAGAGCAGCTAGTCACAACAGTGAAGAGATTTAACACATTTTCCTTATCCTTTTAACACAAGGATAGATTTTGCAGACTACCTTTCATATATAGAGTTTATAACAATTTAAAAAGAAAATTAGAAGTAGATGACTTACCTAGAGTAGTTTGGTCGCGTAAAACATCCATATCAGTGACAGTGCGCTCTAAATGCTCAGCAGCATCAGCAACCAAAGAAACACCTGCTATTGCAGCTTTTTCCCATTTTTTATATGCAGCTGATGACACACCTCCTTCTAAAAGTACAAATATCAATGTATAAATATTCTCTTGCTTTACATTAATTGTGCAACCCCAAATATATAGGAAGTTAAAACATCTTTTTCCCTTTTGATAAAATACATAACATCTTATTTTCATCTTCTCAACAGTTATTTTCCCATAAAAGTTCATTTTGGGATCAATTTACTAACCTGATCTTAGATAGCACATTCAAAAAATTGGACAAAGGAAATAGCTAAGGAAAGGAGAAATTTAATAGAAAACTTATTAATGTACTCAATCTTCTAGAATAAACCAACAAAACCCTCTCGGAGAAGAGCTCGCACCTGATTTTCTTCTCTGCCTCGATGGTTTGAGAACTGTGGGATATCCACCATTGTTTCCACGGTTAATACCAACATTCAAATTGCGTTTTGACACAGTTTTTCTAGGGCCCAATTTTGGAATGTTTTGAGTGTCAACTAAAACTAACTTAACTGCAAGCCCATCATGCCCTAAAGCTCTACTCTGATTTGAGACACCATTGGCTACTGGTGGAGGGCAGTTTTCTCCCTGCAACAGACGTTTTCTTACATTCTTCTTCCGATCTTTCAAAAGTCGATGCTCCTTCATGTAAAAGTGAGTTGGTCAGTTCATCAGCACATGAAGAAGAAGAGTTTCAATCATAGAAAGGCACCAAAGGATGGGATGGATTAGATAGTTCTGACTAACCAAGGCTTCAACAAAAATCTTGAAACGCCGTGGTTTCAGGTGAAGTTTTGAAGCTTTGCAACTATATTTTTCCAGTAACGACCACCTGTTGGACATGCCAAATATAGTGAGAAAAATCACATCTATGTTATACTATTTTTCTCAAAATAGAAATCTTTCTTATATTTTATGTAAAGTAGTTAGACTGAACAATGAAAATTATAACAACTCGTTAAATTAACACAGAAATAACAAATTTGCTCAAGTATCAGTCTGACTTCTCCAGATGCAAAAAGGCCAACATTCTCAACAATGACGTCATATGACATTATGTCAGAATCCAAACTAATTTCCATAACTTTTCACACATAAACCCAGCAATCAATCAAATGAAAATAACCACCCACATTTGGAAAGCATAGGTAAGATTGAAGGAATGGCAACAGAATAACTAGTAATAATTATTACCATCGAAGCATTGCAGCATTAGTATCCTTAGAGTTTTTTGCATCCAGACATAACCCAGGAGCCAACAGCTTATTCATACGCCTTACTAGACGGTAATAATAATGTCTGACCTGTTGAAAAAAAATTGAAGAATATATATGCATAAGAAGGGATTAGAGTACAAGTCCAAGGATTAACTTTCCAACAGAAGACCGTCTATAACAAGCACCTGGTCCTTGTTTTTGCTTTGGACATGACAAGTGATCTTTTCAAAATTCTGCACAGAAAATATGAAGCAGTCAGGAGGCATCCACAGTAACAAATATGCAAAGTAAGGCGACATCTACATGCCTTGCCAACTTGCCGTAATGCAGTGAAGAAACTTTCCTCCTCTTCCCGTGTCCAAGCAGCCCATTGTCGAGTAGGCCTTTTGGCTGCATGAACCAATAAAGAATAATTAGAGGCAGGAAATTTGTCAGATTTAGAATGTAAAAGAAAAGGTCAAGAAAGTACCAGGCGGTGGTTCTATAACATGATCGGGAGTTGATGCTGCAATGCCTTGATCTCCAACATGAGCAACGAAAGTCTCTGAATGAAGATGTGTCTCTGAGTTGGAGGCGACAATTAAATCTGTCTGCATTTTATATTTTTTAATGAACTTATTTACTCTTGCCCTTCATCGACTTCCGAATGATGCTCCTAAGCATCAGAAACCAACTGCAACAATGGGTAATCATTTCAAAGTCAAGAGGAATCAGATATTTTCTTATAGACAAAGGGATTGAAAAGAGATAACTCATTCGAGAGAGAAAGGCACTCATAAATAGAATGTCTTTATCCAAATCTAATCATTTATAAGCATCAGGAGAAGCCCCCAAAAATGTTAACAACGGTAGAGTTTTCTACAGGGTTTCACGCTCCCAAAAATTAAGAATAAAAGTAGAACATAAAGAGTAGTTTCTTGCGTTCATCAATTCATAGATCATCAAATAGAATAAACTGGATCAATTAAGTAGAACAGAACTCATGATTACTCATATATAGCCTTAGCAAGCATCCATATTTATCCAAAATCCTGTCGCACAAAAATGCTAACAAAACCTAATTGCAGTAATTCAATAAAATACCTACCCCAAATGAACTTATAACTCACATACTAAAATTGTGTAAATAACCGAACTTCGGATAGAAACTCATCATTGCCAAGCGGCTGAGAATTGTCAACTGATTCAAATAGCTTAACCCGAAATTAAATCCGAATAACGATCACTCACCTAAACCTTTCATGAAACAACTAATTAATCAAATTGCGTTAAAATTCCTCTAAACCAAATTCCTAACAGACAATTGAAAATAAAGATTCTAATAATCTCCGCTCCATTTCAGGTCCCCGGAGATGATTTAGGGTTTCGAACTGCACCCATGGTCAACTGAAAAAAAAATCTCCAGAAAATCAACAAACGAAACGAAATTGTACACAAAACTGACAATACCTGCGAAAGATTCGAGAAATCGAACAATCTGTAACGCCAAAAAGCTTCGAATATTAGACGAAAACGATGAGAGCCGGAGAAAATTTTCCGACAGCCGTCTACTGTTGAGGGATGAGAAAGAACAAAAGAAAAATAAAAAATAAAAAATAAAAATAAAAATTACTTTGTGAAAAGGGGAAAGACAAATTATTAAAAAAAATGTGTAATTCCTCAAAATGCTAAAAAGAAACAATTTCTGAATTTGTGATACCTAAACATTTACTTCCCTCATTTATTTTATTGACAAAAGAGAAAATATCTAAAAAAATATTACTTAACCTTATAATAATAATAAAATATATATTTTCTAATTAAATATACAAATATAACTTAAAAGATGGCAAATTGTGTATCTTAAACATATAAAAACTTTTTTTTTCCTTATTTTTATTTTTTCTTGGGCCCGTTACGTATAGCCGTCAGCCTCATAATTTTAAAACGCATCTATTGGAAAGAGGTTTTCACACTTTTGTATGTTTCGTTCTCCTCTCCCGGGATCTCACAATTCACTCCCCTGGGAGGCCAACGTCCTCGCTAGCACACACCTAGTAGTTGGCTCTAATACCATTTGTAACAACCGAGCTCACCGATTTGATCAGTTACATATCGTTATCAGCCTCATGATTTTAAAACTCGTAAGACAGTTTCTCAAATTTTAAATAAATAAATAAGTTATATTTGAGGGGTTAGGAATAATCTTTTCCATTAGGATAATATTTAATGTGGGAATCTGGGAGTTTTCTGTCCATGAAGGAAAGCAAGAAAAAGTAAAGGGGTTGAGTTTGTGATGCAAAATGGGGAACTTTTCTTCCTTTAGAAGGGTTTGCTTATTGGTTTTGCTGCCAATTTGTATAGAGATAGCAGAGAATAAAAAAGTTGTCATATTCTTCATGGTTGGTTAACATGCAGCAGCTAATTCAATTATTAGTACAAAAGCGACTGACAACTGCCTTGCAACCCCGAGTCGAGTTATTAAGAATGAGGCAACGTGGACTGCCTAGCAACCATGAACTTGATTGATGAGAACCGCCTCCATTGATTAAGTAAAACACGAAGTTGAAAGTTCATGAACCGGAAGACCAGTTACAGTATACTTTCATGGCTCAAGATGAGCTTCATTGACTGTAGTTGAATTTGATAGCATTATCCTGAACATAGGATCCCCACGATCTAATACGTGACGCTCCCAGTCCGATCTTACTCCAAATGGGTTCTCACTTAGCCATCCTTCCCCAACTTGATCTTGAAAAACAGATAGTTTTCCTTTTCCATATAGTAAGAAAGCTTCCTTCATTCTTAAAGCAACAGCTTCAACATCGGACTGAAGAAACACCTAACAAATAGGAAGCCAGCCCAGAAGAGATGTCCAAATTCCAAGGTTACTTGAAACAAACAAAAAATAAGTGAAGATACACTGAGAAAATGGTAGTACCTTCCCATTAGCTGCAAGCAAGTCTGCCACTGCCTCCACTAATGACCTTTGCAGCATCCTCCATCTGTGCTCTGGTTTATTGAAATCAGGATTGGGACACTGTATTCATAAGAAGTCCTCCTTCACTTCCAGATACCAAAGTCTTTGGTGCAAATAGTTAGCTATTGGTAAATGGGAATGGCTCCATAAGGATTTAACTTTTAAGCATGAAATCAGCTAGTGGTTCAAGGTCGGTTCAAGGTCACTAAAGGTAGTGAATGTTAGGAACTACGCATCTTCACAATGGTATGATATTGTCAACTTTGAGTATAAGCTCTCATGGTTTTGCTTTTGATTTCTCCAAAAGGCCTCATACCAATGGAGATATATTCCTTACCTATAAACCTATGATCATCCTCTTAATTAGCCAATGTAGGACTCCCTCTCAACAAGCTTCAATAATTCTCCCCTCGAACAAAGTATACCATAGAGTCTCTCCTTAATTTGAGGCTTGACTCTTTTCTCTTGAGTCCTCGAACAAAGTACACCATTTGTTCGACACTTGAGTCACTTTTGACTACACCTTTGAGGCTCACAACTTCTTTGTTCGACATTTGAGGATTTTATTGATATGGCTAAGTTAAGGGCATGACTCTGATACTATGTTAGGAACCACGACTCTTTACAATGGTATGATATTGTCCACTTTGAGCATAATCTCTCATGGCTTTGCTTTTGGTTTCCCCAAAAGGCCTCATACCAATGGAGAGGCTTACTCCAAATATCAAGCAATCTGGATTTAGAGATATTAGTTGGGAAGGATCGAGTGCTTAAATATCAGGGAGTAAGAAATACAAACAACATTTATAAGTTCTCAGCACAGATATAATGTCTAGGAAGGGACAAATCCAAAGATTGTAGACAACATGGTTCATGAGGTTTTTGTACCTGTATAGAGACAAGCACTAACTCCCCTGGGTAGCTAGATACAATGGAGCGAAACGTTGACGTTGCATTGGTCGCGATAAAGTGCCTGAAACCATGAGAATTTGAAATAAGGTTTAGTGAAGAAACAGAAAACTCGATGCAAAGGGTTCATGTTAACTCAGTGACAAGCAGAGGACAGTGGACACTTAATCAATAACTGTCACTCAGCTACTTAGAAAGGCCAAGATTCACTGAGCATAACCTATGCCACGCCGAAAAAAAGGAGAAAGGGAAAAAAAAAAAGTAGTCCTTACCCATTCCGCATCTCCAGTTGACAAACAGAATGTAGACAACGTTTCACAAGCTGAAAGGGTCATTCAAGAGTGAGATAATGTGAATAATTAAGGTTTATGCGGGCGAGGAAAAGAATGAAGACCTTTTCATTAATCTCTAGACCAAGAAAATTGAGATCCTTCCTTCTTCTGGCCATTTCCAGAAGAAACATCCCATTACCTGTCATTTACAACATACAACTTATCAACTCACTTCTTGAATGAAAAATTAAATGCAATCGTCATTAAAACTTGTAGAGTTGTACCAACGGAAAAAAACTAGGAACTTGCACAAAAATTGCAGATTATTTTCTCTTATCTAGCGCACATTCTAAACTAAACTACATCACAAGAAAGTCTTTAACTTTTTATGTGAGATTCCATATCGATTGAGAGGGGAACGAAGCATTGTTTATAAGGGTGTGGAGGGTGGATTGTGAGATCCCACATCGGTTGGAGAGAGGAACGAAACATTGTTTATAAGGATGTGGAAACCTCTCCCTAGCAGACGTGTTTTAAAAGCTTGAGGGGAAGCCCAGCAAAGAAAGCCTAAAGAGGACAACATCTGCTAGCTATGGGCTCGGGCTGTTACAAATGGTATCAGAGCTAGACATCAGGTGATGTGCCAGCGAGGACGCTCGGCCCCGAAGGGGGGTGAATTGTGAGATCATACATCGATTGGAGAAGGGAACAAAGTATTGTTTATAAAGGTGTGGAGGGTAGATTGTGAGATTCCACATCGATTGGAGAGGGGAATAAAACATTGTTTATAAGGGTGTGGAAACCTCTCCCTAGCAGACACATTTCAAAACCTTGAGAGAAAGCTCAAAAAGAAAAGCCCAAAAAGGACAATATCTGTTAGCGGTGAACTTATTACATTTTAGATGTTAAATACATAACTCTAAATGATACGAAGAAAATTATACCACTTCCAATGTCAACCACCAAAGGCAGAGCTATATCACAAAAGACTGCATCCCAGTTAATCTTGTATGGGTATGCCTGCATGAAGAAATCGCTTCAAACTAATTTGAGCTGCTCATCCAGTTTAAACTCATTATTCAATTTTTTAGAAAAAATAATCAAAATACAGAAGAACTTACTCTATCCAAGGCCAGAACCCCTGGAAGTTGTTTCCCTTTCAAGAAATCCCACACAACAGAAGCATTCTCAAAGACATTACAAGCAGGTAAAGTACTTGATTCCTGCATCAGTGATTTGCATGCTGTGGTTCCAACAACAGTTACATCACAATCACTTTGGATTAGATCATATAGCTTTCTTGCTAATATAGAAGCTCCACCCGTACTTTGGCTTGAATTAAAGAATTTCACTGGACCAATCCATATAATTTTCTGCAACATAGTGCTCAGGTGTTAGACTGAGATTCTTGCGTGAGTAAATAACAGATAACTATGTTGGTACTTAGTAGGGGTTTAAAGAGAAGTTGGACATGCTGAGTTTCTAAATCACAAAATTGTAGTTCATACTTACCAGACTGTAACGGCCCAATCCCACCGCTAGCAGATGTTGTCTTCTTTGGGCTTTCCCTTTCGGGCTTCCCCTCAAGGTTTTTAAAACACGTCTGCTAGGGAGAGATTTCCACACCCTTATAAAGAGTGTTTCGTTCTCCTCCCCAACCGATGTGGGATCTTACAATCCACCCCCCTTTGGGGCCCAGCATCCTCGCTGGCACTAGTTCCCTTCTTCAATCGATGTGGGACCCTCTAATCCACCCCCCTTCAGAGCCCAGCATCCTTGCTGGCACACCACCTCGTGTCCACTCCCCTTCGGGCCTCAGCCTCCTAGCTGGCACATCGCCCGGTGTCTAGCTCTGATACCATTTGTAACGGCCCAAGCCCATCGCTACAGATATTGTCCTCTTTGAACTTTCCCTTTTGGGTTTCCCCTCAAGGATTTTAAAACGGGTATGCTAGGGAGAGGTTTCCACACCCTTATAAAGGGTGTTTTGTTCTCCTCCCCAACACTGATGTGAGAACTTGCAATCAGACCATGGAAGATAATTGGGATTTTAGAATAAGCAGAAGCAACTATTGAAATTTAAGGTAAAAATTGAATCCTACCTTGCTCTTCATTAGCAGGGCGTTTATTTCATCCAATGATGTCGGACCAAGATCGACCGGTAGCCAGCCTAAAAGAGGAAGAAGTTAAGATAATAAAAGAACAAGCTTAATTTCAAAGTGTCAAGCCTTAAAAAGGATAAACATGCATTCGGGTAGGGGAAATGAAAACTTACCATCTGGAATATCATGAGAAGCAAATATTTCCATTTTCTTTGAAGTGTCTACATTCTTGCACCAGAAATCCTTTGGGTACACAATTTGTACGCTTTTATCAAGTGAAAACTGAAATACGTCTGCAGCTTCCTTACATACACTATGATTCACCAGCCGTGAAGAAACAGGCAGCCCCAAGGCATGCATTATCTGAAATGACATCATTCCAACAAAGACCAACGCAGAGCATGTGGAAGCTAAAAGGTGCAAGGCAGACACCTTGTCTAAGAGGTTGCCTCCTCCAATCTGTATTAAAAAAAATCATAGTACATGATCTAGAATCGTTTTATGGCAGATGAAGGAACTAGTAGAGGGAAACATACAATTGCAACGTAAGGTTGCCTCTTGGTTTGTGCAGCCTCCTTTAGCTGACATAAACTTTCTTGAAAGCTAAAACCAGCAATGCAGGTACAACAGAAACGAGTAATCCCAACTGTGGATGCAAGAATTCTATGAGATTGGGAGAAGGAGTCATTAACAAAAATATCAACACCTAAAGATAGCAGCTTGGAAAATTTTGAGCAATTGGCAACTTCTTCTTTGAACTCTGAAAGATTCTGGAGAAGAAGAATGTCGACTTTCTCGAAGCATTCTTTGGTCGACATCATACTAATGGAACTGCACTGTACTGGGAGAACTTTGAGTTGAAGAACAGAGGTCAAATAATCTGAAATGGCAAGCCATCAATCATTAAGCGTTAAGGAACATCTAAAGAAAAAAAAAAAAAAGACCGTCTGAGGAACACTTCCAATGTCATGCATTTATGTTTTCTATTAACTTCTATCTTACTTCGATATATATTCACCTAGGAGCAACATAATGAATTCCCTCCAAACTCATACTAATAGAAGAGACTTCAATCTATCCATATGTATCATATTTTACAGATTCGAATCGGGATGCCCCACGGTTAGAGTCCTGGTCTCCTCCCACTGCTTGGACGACCAACCATAGAATTGGAAGTGTCATCTCCAAGCCTGCTGAAATTGAAATTCTCTTTAGAATCATCTCTTACAAATCCAATTGGGCAGTACCAATGAACCAAAGGAAATCACCCCATGTTCTAATGCACGTGCACCCCACATCACGCCTTATATCCCATATCGAGGTAGGTTATAGAACTCCATTCACAAAATGAAATCACAGTGTACTATATTGAAATCAGGAAACATCCTATAACGTGTACCAGCTACAGACTCCATATTGGGATGTCTTGTAATAGAGTTTGTATTCCAGTTGCTGGCAAGTATCACTTTTGCTCCAGACTTGTGCAAGTATTTAACGGTGAAGATTGCATTCTTCACCAAGTTAATCCTTAGGTCGATTTCTTCCATTAGCAGTAGGGTTGAATCAAACCTGACCGTGACAACTTTTCCGGCAAGTTCTTCCCTAGGAAACTCTCTAAGAGTTTGCACATGTGGAACAGCCTCTAAGTTCCACCAACTAGGAGCATGGTCCTACAATCACCCCAACTTTGTTTTAAGACCACAAGCAAATCATATATAATACATAGAACAGATAAATTAAATTAAGTTTTAAGAACTGGTTCAAAAAAAGTAGGAAACTGAAAGTTCAAGTTATGCACACAGAGATTTAAACGAAGTTTCCTTTCCATCATAAGACGAATCGGGTGGCACGAAAGGGAAATGAGCCGTCTAAATACCTCCGAGTTCACCGTGTTCTTCTTACAATAGACTACCCCCCAACGTCGTGCTGAGATGTAACTTCAAAACAAGACAAATTTGTGTAAGAACTTGGAGCAAACTCAAAGTCTAATATATAGTGAAAAAATCAAGTTTATACCTTCCGTTGACGCTAAGACAGCATGATATCTATCATACTTTGTGAAGTAGGGAAATAGATTCTGATAATATAACTTTGGTGAATCTTGAGCAACTGCTTTGCTAACGAAAATAGATCCTTTAAATGGATTTAAAAGTTGGCCCATCTCCTTTTTCCTTATTCAAGCAATGAAAACTCTGCACTAGATTTCAATAAACCTATCATAAAAGAACATTTAGAACACATCGTTCAAATTTGAAAATGACCCAAACAGCTAAGAACGTTTCCAGGTATGGCTCCTAATTATCACCATTGTGTTGCTAGAAAACAGAGTATAACTTCAGCTAGTTCTACAAACCAAAGCAGTCCTTTAATGATGGTAGATATTTCTTTAGCCATGAATTGCCACCATGAATGGACTACAAACAACCACTAAAATCACCCAAATGCTTCATTCAATTGTCCGAAATCGTCACACAGAAAACTGACGTAAAATGTAGTTGTTACAGATCATGGAAGCAATTGATTGCCACAAACACAAAGAAAAAGGACATAAATCGAAGAATTTGAGCTGAATGAACTGAAAACCAAGAAGATAATCAGCCAGTTCCTTTAATCTTTCATTAATACTCACCGGCGAGCCGACAGACGCGTTTGGAGTTGAAGAAATAAGCAAACTGCAAGTTCCAGAAACCAATAACACGCGCCGAGAGCAGGCCAAATTGGCTTGCCGCTCTTTCAGTACCTTATCGACGTCTAAAATAAAACGACACGTCGTCTAATTCCCGTTCGACTTGTAGTCCATATTTTAATATTTTATCAATTTAAATCCTATTTTTGTTTCTCTTTTCCTTTTTTATTTTTTTTAAATATCCCATTAGTATCAACGGAAGCAGGGGAGGTGATTGGAATTCCATAGATCAACCCAAAACAAAACCTCTGCCGGCATCTGTTGCTTCCGCCGTCCGGTGGTCGAGATGGGAGGGTGCTTCGTGGTCGGCATATTGGGAGTTCTAATCCTAGCTCATGCTTCTTATTCCACCATCCAATGTATGCCCTAAAAAACCGCCTGATTATATTCTCCAACTGTAAACCCTGCAGTTCTCGATTGATCTTGTTTTGAATGCAGATAGGAACGTATTGAAGATTATGCAGGAAGAGTTTTCAGGCCCTCCGTTTAATGTATTCTCGCCGCTCTTTTTTCTTTCTTTAATTTTGGCTTTCAGTTGGTTCCGCTTATATCACTCGATTTGAGGTGTTTCTGAAATAAGGAAGTTTTTCTTGTCCCCTAATTTTAGGTGGCAATCGAATTGAGTCTAGGGTTAGTATTGTCCGTGTGGGCTGCACTCACTGTGCCAGGGAAGTTTCGCTCGATTAATCCAGAATCTGAGGAGAATAGGTACATTTTTCTGTCAATTTGTGCATGAAATGTGATTTTGCTAAATGTTTTGGATGGAATTCCGCCATTAGTTTTTCTACAATGAATAAGGAGTTGGTGTTGACGGTTGTAGACCGTTTGCCAATCCAGAAAAGCTAGGCTCTGGTAGCAAAACTCCGGTAAAGGTTATCACAAATATAACCTTTGTTACCAGCTCAGTCTATCCACTTCCACCTCCCCCTACCCCGTCCCCCTGTGTCTGCCAATTTACTGCCTTGCCTTCTTTTGCTTCAAAGTTCATATAAGAAGTGCAAAGGCATATAGTTTCCTAGTATCTGGTAGTTATTTTTGTTTTCTTAAAAGGTTCTACTAAGCCGCTCTTAAATGTCCGAAGAGATAGAGATGAACCCATTAGAAAGTTTTAGAGAATTTCTTTATGAGATCCCACGTCGGTTGGAGAGGGAGAGGGGAACGAAACATTCTTTATAAAGGTGTGAAAACCTCTCCCTAGCAGACACGTTTTAAAAACTTTAAGGGGAAGCTCGAAAGAGAGCTCAAAGAGGACAATATTTGCTAGCAGTGAGCTAGCTGTTACATTCTCTTTTTGGATTGTTCCCTGTATTTCCATGGTCCGTCCCTTAAATTTGGGTTTTGTTCGAGTTCAGAATATTTCAAGAATTTGTAGTTGTTACAACTAATTTCACTGTTAGTAGCATGTTCTTTCGTCCAGCAAGTTAAAATTAATTTTCATGTAGAGAAATATTTTTACATTTCAGGGTAGTTTTTCTTCCTGCCAATCAAGATTTTATGGTCTTCAACCACCGAGGCAAATTATTTCCCCAGAAAACAGATTTGAAGCTGAAACATTGAGATCTCAGTCGTGATTAGAGTAGGCCCGGAGAATTGAAGCTGGAAGCAGAAATGGACGTTAAAGAACCTAAAGGAGATATTGCTGCATTCCATCAATCTTAATGTTTCTTCACTCGCTAATTATTTTGGATACTGCGAGGTTTTTTCGATGTTTATTTTATAGTCTCTTCCTCAAAACAAGGTTTTGCCATTGTTATTGAATTAGGCGTCTTTTGGATCGATATGAAAGGTTAGTATGTGTTTCTGCAATCTGGTTAACTTAGATTAGTTTGTTTTTAAATCTGCCGATGGTAAATGGTTTCAATTTGGTAGCTTATTTCTCTGCTGTGTACGATCCATTGTTATTGAATTAGGCCTCTTTTGGATGTGTGGAAATGACTTGGGGTTCTTGTTTTAAAATGAATTTTGCATCCTGATGCAATCCTGGGTCATTTTTTACATTTGCGTAGTGTCATTGACATCATTTTGCTATATTATGCTGCATTAGTAGAGGTATGGTAGAATCAAGGGTCATGTCATTGGCATCATTTGCTAGAGGTAACGGTCAAGCTCACTGCTAGCAGATATTGTCCTCTTTGGTTTTTCCCTTTCAGGATTCCCATCAAGGTTCTTAAAATGTGGTCTGTTAAGAAGTTTTCATACCTTAAAATGTTTTCATTCCCTCTCTCCCACCAATGTGGAATCTCGCAATCCACTCCCCCCAACGTTTTTGTTAGCACATCGCTTGGTGTCTGGCTTTGATATCATTTGTAGCCCACCATTAATAGTTATTGTCCTCTTTAGGCTTTCAAGGTTTTTAAAACACGATTGTTAGGAAGAGATTTCTACACCCTTATAAGTTCTCTCCAAATCATGGCGATGTGTCTCACCAACTTATAAATATTGTGCTAAGCTTTGTTAAGGTGAGGTTTCTCAGGTAAAAAGTGCTGTACAGAGCCTGGTTAGAACTATCAAATGTGAAGGAGAATGAATGAAACAAGAAAAGGAGAGAAATTCATTGTACAAGTTTAGATCACTATAGACACATCTGTCATTGCAATATTGAAGAGGAAAAGTGGTGAGCTTAGAAAGGGCTTTAACAATGAAGCAAGCAACAGCAATGGCAACAAGCATGTTCCGGCTGTTGGATTATGATTGGTTGAGTTCTTCTGGCTTGTCTATGGAATGTCTGAGAATGTATTCAACTCTCCTCTTCTTTTCATCTCTTTCTTTATTGTGCTTTTGATTTCTTTCATCATCTCGTCTGACCCAGAACACAGATTCCCTAATTCCAGTCACTTCAGCATTCAAATTCATAGATCCTCCAAGAAATGTTCTGCTAGTTTCTAACTTGAAATGAACAAGGGGCCTCACACGAGGAAGAATGTTCGCCTCGTCGTCCCGACTGTTAGGAAAGCCACTACCTTTAATCGCCTCAAGGGCAGGAGCAAACACCTCTGGCACAGACAAATGGCTAATCCCATCCTTGCCAATTGAATTTTCAGAAGGAAATCCAATCCCATCTTCCATCTCTTGCAAACATGACCCAAGGAATGAATTACTTTCACCTCCTGAAAACTCAACCTTGCCATTGCCACTTCTTTCTAAACCACAGGAAACCAGTCTCTGCTGCAAACCTAATAGAGATTTCTCTGCCTTCCTCCGCTGCCTCGCAAGCTCTATCTTCTCGGCGCGTGGCTCCCTCGGCTTCCTCCTCCACAAAGCTGAATGATTGTAAGTATGAGCATCAGGGAATGCTGGCAACCAACTGGGAATATGTTTGCTAGGTGGGGCTTCACCAATCTGAACAAAGCTTGGAATTGGCTCCCTGTTTCTGATCACAGGGAAACGTGGTAGTGGATGAGCAAAAGGGATCTCTTCAACTGAATTCACGTAGCGAACAATTTTCTTCACTGACCCCGAATTGGTAAGACAATGATTTGGTTCCCAAGCACCCTGAAACCCCTGTGATGATTCCAACTCTTCGATCCCTCTAATTATATCAAACACATTGCACTCAGTTCTACCAGCTAAATTGGCATAGAAAGCTGCTATCCTCCCCAAATGGCAAAGGTATTTGATGGCAATGTCAGCGAGTGCGTCCGTAGCAGACTCTTTGAAGCTCTGAAACCCAGCGATGTTACACATCTGCGTCACAGCAATTCTGGACACCTCTCGACCAAAATCGTTGCCTCTGCATTTCCTCAACTCAGACCTTTGTTGTTCTTTCGACTTCATGCTACTCCCACCCCCATCCCTCATTGCCTCTGCATTTCAATCTTCTTCGAATTCCGCCACACTCAAACGATCAAAATCCAGTTACTCGTCGGAAGACGATTGAATCCTTCTTCGATTTCCAAGCGTAATAGTTGATTTTTTTGCAATTCGAAATTCGGAACCAGATAAGAAGAAGGTCGAGAAGTGAATCCGGAATCAGAATCAAAATTAATAACAAGAATCTAGCAGTTAGAAGGCAAAACAATCTAAAGAACCATCGGAAAGTTAGGGAAGAAACAAACACGAAAAGCTAAAAGGAAGCTCTAAAACTGATGATAATAACTTTCCAAACTATAATACAAGTAATCCAGAGAGGATTTTTTTTCAAATATCTGAAAGAGAAAATTAGGAATATGCGAGATCCAACGATCCGAAGAGCTGTAATCTAATAGCACAAAACCCTAGAGGGAAAAAAATGGAGGAGAAAGAGAAAGTGAGATTTCAAATAGGAGATGACGGTAGACGGAAGCAGAAGCAGACGCCGCCGCAGATCTCCGGCGTTTGAAGAGCGATCAAACTGAGCTGTAAACTCCTGAAGTTCGAGGTTTTGGTTCTGAAGAAGAGAAACCTTCGGAATATTTGTATTTATTTATTTAAAAGATGCTCTAAAATTTTATGCTTCGTCTATCTCTTTAATTTTTTACCCTCTTTAAAATTGTATCAAAACATTTATTTTTCTCAATATTTTTGTTAACAAAAAAAAAAAGAAAATTATTAAACTGTGACTTGGGAGAATTATAAAATAAGATGACAAGTGGACACGTGTAAGTTTGGGCCTTGGTCTCATCTCAAGGCTGCCCATTGGGCTTTCTTACTCACGTGGGCTTAATCTCAACCAGAGGCCATGGACGTTTGGGCCTTGGTCTCATCACAAGGCGGCCCATGAATGTGCGTTTTGAAGATGGGGGCATTCCACTGCTGTAGATAAGCATGGATAGAACCAAGACCAGAAAGAAGCCGTGATTCTGAGAAATCGAAGCAAGAGAGACGAAGAAATGGAGAAGTACTTCGGAAATGCTTACAGAGGCGACCCTGGAGTTCCACACACTGACCCAGATCGTTTTGTAAACATTTGGATTGGATCCGCCGCCTTCTCCATTCTCACATGGAAGAATCCCTACATGTGGCAACTCTCCAATCAGTTCAAGTACTCTTTTTCTTCATCTCTCCCTGTTTTTTCGAAGTCGATTTAGGGTTAAATTTGCAGGGAAATGTCTTAATTCTTAAACTATAGCACTATTTGTTTGAATTCTTGTTCTGCTCTGCAATTTGCCTTTCTGCTTCATTACTCTGTTGTTATGTACTGACGTTCAATAGTTTCAGCTTCTTTTTTGGCGGGTCAGTTTTGAAATCAATGTTTACAGGGGTTAGACTTTGATTAGGAGTTATTTTAGGGATTTACAATTCTAGCGGACCTTATTGCACCAGAAGTTGTAGTGACTGTAGATGATTCAGTTTCATTGCATGTATAGTGATAATCTTATCACTTATTATTCAACTGGCCGTGAAATTGTAAATGTTTATTGTATAACGATAATCTTTCATTGCCTGTATAAGACTTAACGTCTTCTGTTTTGCTTTTCCTGATGTCTGCTGACAAGTATATGAACTATTATAACTATATTTGATTTTCTTCTTGTGTTGTTCAATGCCAATCTTATTTTTGGATTCTGCTTCTTTAGGCTGAAGAAATACTCCCGTAAAAGAATCTGATATTGTGGATCCTTAGATCAGGTTTATGCCTTATGTTATCATTTGGTTCATTGATGTTATCTTATCACTTAGAAGTACGAATCTAATTTTGATGAAATGTACATGCTGGGTTGTTGATATAGGGAGATATTGGCATCCTTTCTTGTTGCTTGTTCCATAGTACTTTTTTGCATTATTCGCATTAAAGACTGTGGGTGTTCGTTGTGCTTCTTTGTATTGTTTTTGCCGCTACTGTTATGCAATTGTCATCCTTATTCTCAGTTCATATTTGAATCATGCATTCTCAATTTGTAATTTGATAGTTGGCATGATAAAGCGTTTTTGTTTGAGCAATACCACTGGAAAAAGGCTCGTGAAAAGAATCAGCCATACCAGTTCAAGGTACATTGTTCTACTCCAGTTTATATAGAAAACAAACAAGCATTTTATATTGCATATGAACCACTTTGTTGTTATACTTTTAATATGTCATGGAATGGCTACAATGTTCTTATAAAAAAAATTTTGCTCCTGCAGTGGAATCAGTACATGGACAAGCTCCACCGGGATTCCTATTATTACAACTGGCCCGTGTACTTTCCTTAAGATCTCGGACTATGTAAGAAAATTGTTGCTTGGATGCTTAGTTATTTGGTTTGTTACTGCAGCATATAGAGATTACTATTGCACTCAGGCTGGAAGGTTTATGAATGTGTAGAATCATATTTGTTTAAATCTGTTTGGATAACAGCATGTCGTGTGGTCGTTCTATTCTGCAGTAATGATTTTGGGAATGGATGAACCATAATTGGTACCATTTGCAATTATATGATGAAGATCTGAAAGGGTATCTTATCATACTGAAATGGAGCATAGCAACTTAAAAAATGTGCTAGAACTGGGTGTTTAGATAGATTCCCAAATAGATTGTAAATGTAGATCCCACGTTTGTTAGAGAGGGGAACGAAACATTCCTTATGCGGGTGTGAAAAACTCTCCCTAGTAGATGCGTTTTAAAACCTTAAGGGGAAGCCTTTAAAGGAAAAGTCCAAAGAGGACAATGTTGGCTAACGGTGAGCTTAGGCTATTACAAATGATATCAGAGCCCGTCACCAGACAGTGCCTCGCACCGATCGGAGTAAGGCTAGACCCTTTCCACAATATACGCGTTTTTAAATCCTTGAGGGGAACAGTGAGCTTGGGTTGTTACCATAAATGTTTCTTTTGTTCTTTCTCGAGTAGAAATAGTAGTAATCACTGGTACAGTTAGACACAAAGCACCTTTTTCATCATTTTGATGTGGTGTCATCTGGATTTTGGATCATGATACCTTCTACCTAATGTTTACCATATACTTCCTGGGTCGTTCTAAATTTCTTAGATCTGGTAGAAATGATTGAATTGTTTTCGATCCCCAGAAGTACATACCATTACTCTGAGTCTCAAATGTTTTACAGGTATATGGTAGTCTGATTCTAAGATGATGCAGAAACCCAATGTTCTGATTTATGGATTTCTTAGCACAGCTTCAGCATTGATGTATTTGCAGACCCAGGCAATACTCATTGCTGTATCTGAGCAATCCTTTGGGCCTAAAGCTCTATCTGGTGCCATGTTTAAAAGAACTGTCACCTCCTTTTGAAGCCCATCCTCAATTCTGCCTTCTTCTTCATTCCAAAAGTTTACTTGTGCCACACCAAAATACCACCTTAGGAAGGTCTGTTTGAGTTAAAGATGGGAAAGAAGAACAAAAGATTTTTTTACTTTTTTTTTATTCTTTTGTTCTTCTTCCATTAGAGCTTATCTAAATATGAAAGTCAAAAATCAGAATGATTATGGTGAACAAACTTCACTCTTCCTCATGATGATGATATTCTCTTAGACATGTTCATTCTTCTGTACATTCAAATGGGTGAATTTCCCTTTATGCCCCCAAAATTCATCTCTTTTCTCCTATTTGTCTCTCTTAGTCTTGAACCTCACTACATTCAACCAAGATTACTCAATCTAACTACGAGCGGATATTATATTTTTTGGACTTTCTCTTTTAAGCTTTTTTTAAAGGTTTTAAAACGAGTATACTAGGGAGAGGTTTCCACACTCTTAATAAGGAATGTTTTGTTCTCCTCTCCAATCAATGTGGGATTTCACAATCCACCCCTTGGGGCCAGTATTCTCACTAGCACGCCGCCTGGTGTCTAGCTTTGATATTATTTGTATCATTCCAAGTTGCTTTGGCCCATTATGTATCGTCATTAGCCTCACGGTTTTGTAAGGATAATACGTGTGATTTGATTATGATTATATTTTAGGGACGGAACCGAAAATGGGTAGGAGAGAAATGTAAAAAAGCATGGAAAGGTGAAGGAAGAAAAAGAAAGAATGGCAAATGGGTTGCCATATTTGAAGATTTGGAGTATAGAAGTTTTAGTTGGCTACAAAGACTTGCATCTAAAGATAAATAAATAACAAACTTATAAATATGACTCATTTATGGAAACTTCAAACTATACCACTCTTTTTCAATAATGTGGGCCCCCAATTTGTGGTTTAGTGCATTCCACTCATTCACTTTCACACACTCTTTTTTTCTCAATTTTGTGCGTTTACACGTGTTTAACCCAAACCATGGATTAATTTCTCTCTCTTTTTTTTTTTTTAATAATGACTTCAATCATATCTCGATGGTTTTTTTTCCGATATGATTTAGAGAAATCAATTTTCAAATATCGATTTATTCGTGTTTATATTAACAAGCTCGATGATTGATAGTACTGTTGGTTTTGAATATCTAATTTTATTGGTTAATATATATATTTTCCGGTGTGAAAAATGAAAAAAATATATATATGGCTCAATTATTTGGTCGGTTATTATTATAACCTTTGATACTGATTGCGATAGGTTTGTATAGAATTTGAAAATGTCGTCCAAACTTATGTTGAGAATTAATGGAAATTCTTCTTTCTCAAGTCACCATTTTTGTCCTTTTATTTGATTCCCAAATTTTCATTATCACAAGTAGCACCAAAAATACTTATACATCATTTTTGTCCTTTTATTTTATTTTTTTATTTTGTTTCCTTTTTTTTTTTTAATGTCTTCGAAATTCAACCTGATGTTTTAAACTGTCTTATTTAAATAATAGCCGCTAAAAGAAATTTGATTGAGACCAAAAATTTGTTTCAAATATTTGAATTTTGACTTCAATAAAAGTGCATATTTCTAGATTAAGTACCACTTTTTTCAAAAAGAAAAAAAGCTTTAAATGGAGAATTCTCAATGTTCACAACTCTTTTAATTATTCTTTTTATTAAAAAATATTATAAATACTTTAAATTTATACTTCATTACACATACACAATTTTTGGAATATAAATAATAAATCTTTTGATTTATTAATATATTTTTGGTATAATTTAGATTTTTAAGGGTAGAGGGAATGAAGACGGAAAACCAACTCAGAAAACGCGGGAAGCGTAAATGGAAGGAGGACTATTTGTATTTGAATTTCAAACTTCCCACGTGTCACTGACGTGGACGGGTCCCACGTGTTCCCCCCTTTGCTTATCTGGCGGCTCGGTTAGTTCACGGGCTGGTTTTTAAACCAATATTCGTTTGGTTTCCCACCAACAATGCACGTGTCAAATCCAACTCGTCACTTTTTGAAGCTTTGGAATTTCAACCATTCACGCTTTTTCAATATTTTTAACTTTTTTTTTAATAAAAATATATTGCAGTATTTTAAAGTATTTTAACCTTTTAGAATAAGATGTAAGATTTTTTTACATTGAAAGATATTTTTATTTTTTAAAATTAATAATTTTATCCAATAAAGTATAAAATTTATGTACATTTTTATTAATTAACCTTATACACGAGGGTATAATAAATATTTTATTAAATAAAATTTAAAAAATTAAATCTGTTAAAATAATTAATTGTTATTAAACCCTATTTGAATTAGAGTTTATGTTCTTTTAAAAAAGAAAAGGAAAAAGAGTAAATTTATTGGTTTTAAACCTAACTTGTTTATACACTATGCATAAAAGTGTTTTAAGTGTGAGGAAATAATAGATAGATAAGATTTACACATGTTGATTTCTGATTGGTTAAGTTTGGATATGATTATAAGATTATCGCTAAGGTAAATGTTCATTTCTGATTATCGATGTGGAGTCCGTCTCTACTTACGGAAACACTTATGAATAAGCAGTTAATGCAACCAAGTGAGTAAGAACAAAACCTTCGGAACACAAATTGTTTTGTTCGGTGGAGACAACATTCAACCCAAGTCCACCGTTAGTAGATATTGTTCACTTTGGCCCAATACGTAACACCCTTAACCTCACGGTTTTAAAATCGTGTTTGTTAAGAAGAGGTTTTCACACTCTTGCGAGCAATGTTTTGTTCTCATCTCCAACTAATGTGGGATCTTACAATCCACTCTCTTTCCCTTAGGAGCCCGCATTCTCTTGGTATATCGCCCAATGTCTAACTCTGATACTATTTGTAATCATCCAAGCTCACCACTAGCTGATATTGTCCGCTTCAGTCTGTTACATATAGTCGTCAACAACACCACTCGCTTATAATTTTTGTAATTCACTAAGAACTTAAAAGAAGAAGAAAAAAAAAAAAAGTAAAATTCAAACATTATATCATGATAATGGCCCACTCATGGCCATGGAGTTGACAGCCTGACATCCATCCATCCATCCATCCATCCCCATACCATACACATGATGGGGTTAATGTAGAAGTTGCCACCATTTTCAGAATCCGAGTCATCAACGAGTCAGAGCTTGGGCCCACACAATGATACGACTCACCATCCTCATTCATAATGTTTCGAAATTTGTCATTTACATTTAATAAAATCTCTAAATATTTTTTAAATAATTATTTTCATATTATTGCTAAATTAGGTTGTCCTCATTCATTCCTAATTCTTCAAATCCATTTTTTTAAATATTTATTTCTTCCCTGACAGCAAACATATCTATTATTAATTTAATAAAATTAGTATGATAATATTTTCAAATCAACCTAATAATAATTTTTTAAAAATGAAAATTTCAGCATTTAAAAATTAAATTCTATCAGAATAAAAAATAATTAAGGCAAAAGTTGGCGAATAAATAAACAAATTTAAACATCAAAATATTGAAAGAATAAAAGCACAAACGACAAAAACCATATTTAATTAACTCGAAAGGTAGTATTCCAATTACGACAAAGTAATCATAATTTAATTTAATTTAATTAAAAAACTTATGCAATGTCACGCCCGAGCAAGTTGGCGACCCGCGTAACATATCGTACGTATGGACTTAATTTAAAATCGTAATTAAATTCCTAATGAACAAAAATATATTATTAAATAATACAATATATATATATACACATATAATTAATTGGTTATTAATGTTAATCAAGTTGCTAATTAAACGTGGTTTCAATGGTACACCTAATCCCATTGTTTCCACCCAACAAAACCCACTGAGAAGAGAAAAGAAGGTTTTTTTCCTCAATGCATATGGTATGGTGATGTCATTCCAAAACTAACTAATTTCCAATGATTAAAAAATAAATATAATATATTAAAATTTAAATTAATTAATATTTATAATTTTGTTTTAATTTGGCCGTGGAAAGCAAAAATTAAAAACCTTACTTAATGGACACATAATAAAAGTGATAATATTAAAATAAATGCTTAATGGATATAAAGCTAACAAATAAGAGCAATACACGTGGAATCCAAATCGCCATGCATGCAGAACACGTGGCAGATCATGGTAGTGCTTAGTGTGTTGTGGTA